GGTCTTCCTCAGCAAAAAGAGGAGGATTAGCATGGATGTTAGCTCAGGGCTGATCTTCCTCACAAAAAATAAATAAATAAATAAATAAATAAAACTTAAAAAAAAAAAGAAATGCTAAAGGTAATTCTTCAAGCTGAAATGAAAGCTACTAATCAGCTAATTAGTAATGTGAAAGCATATGAAAATATAAAACTCATTGATAAAGGTAAATATATACAGATCTTCCTCGACTTACAATGGGGTTGAGTCTTGATAAACCCATCATAAGTTGAAAACATCCTAAGTTGAAAATGCATTTAATATACCTAACCTACTGAACATCGTAGCTTAGCCCAGCCTGCCTTATACGTGCTATGAACACTTACAGTAGCCTACAGTTGGGCTAATCAACTAACACACCCAACACAGAACCTATTTTATAGTACAGTGTTGAATATCTCATGTAATTTATTGCATACTGTACTGAAAGTGAAAAACAGAATGGTTGTATGGGTACAGAATTGTTGTAAGTGTATTAGTTGTTTACCCTCACAATCAGGTGCTGACTCGGATCTGCAGCTCACTGCTGCAGCCCAGCATCATGAGAGAGTATCATACCGCATATCACTAGCCTGGGAAAAGATCAAAATTCAAAATTTTAAGTGCAGTTTCTACTGAATGTGTATTGCTTCACCATTGTAAAGTTGAAAAATCATAAGTCAAACCATCGTAAGTTGGGTACCATCTGTAGTTAAATTCAGAATAATATTGTAATGGTGGTGGGTAAATCACTTATAATTCTAGTATAAAGGTTAAAAGACAAAAGTTTTAAACATAACTATAACTAAAATAATTTTTCAATGGATATACATTATAAAAATGTAAATTGTGACATCAAAAATATAAAATGTAAGGGGAGTGTAAAAACATAGACCTTTTGTATGTGAATATATATCTGAAGGAAATGAAATCAGTATCTTGAATAGATATCTGCACCCACATGTTCATTGCAGCATTATCCCCAATAGCCAAGATACAGAAACAACACAAGTGTCTGTCAACAGATGAATGGATAAAGAAGATATGATACACACACACACTGAAATATTATTCAGCCATGAGAAAGAATAAAATCCTGCCATTTGTGACAACATAGATGGATCTTGAGTGTATTAAGCTAAGTGAAATAAGCCAGACAAATACTGTGTGATGTCACTTATATGTGGAATCTAAAAAAAACAAACTAGTAGAAACAGAGAGTAAAATCGTGGTTGCCAGGGGCTGGGGAAAATGGGGAGATACTGGTCAAAGTGTACAAACTTCACTTATAAGATGAATAAGTTCTGGGGATCTAATGTACAGCATAGTTAACAATATTGTATTATATACTTCAAACTTGCTGAGAGTAAATCTTAAATGTTCTCACCACAAAAAAGAAATGGTAATTATGTGAAGGGATGGAGGTGTTAGCTAATGTGGTGGTGGTAATAATTTTGCAATATATAAGTGTTTCAAGTCCACACATTGTACATCTAAACCTAACGTTTTGTTGTTAGTGCTGTAGAGCAGAGCCCTGCCTGGTCTTTTTTGCACCATCCTCTCAATCAGACGATGCTCCACTGTTACTCATAGGGTTTTCATGGCCAATTTTTTCAGAAGTGGGTTGCCAGGTCCTTCCTCGTAGTCTTAGTCTGGAAGCCCCACTGAAACCTGTCTACCATGGGTGACTCTGCTGGTATTTGAAATACTGGTGGCATAGCTTGTAGCATCACAGCAATACACAGCCACCACAGTATGACAACTGACAGACAGGTGGTGTGCTTCCGTGACTGGGAAACGAACCTGGGGCCACAGCGGTGAGAGCACTGAATCTGAACCACTAGACCACCAAACACAATGTTATATGTCAATTATAACTCAATAAAGCTGGGGGTAAAAAAAAGATTTGCTTCATAAATCTTAGTGTACCTCTAAACTAAAAATTCTCTAACTGGCACCACTGTATATTTCCAAGTACCCTAATCCAATGGAGAAATAAGATGGACATTATAAAATGATTTTTGTCTGATTGCTACTCATTCAAGTGCTATTTCACATCACTCTCCTGGTGCCTGGATGTCCAGAAGTCATAGAATTATCTACTCATCTGTTCCAAAGGTGGATACCCATTTTATGAACAAGACCAAAACATCATGTATGTAGCTGCACTCATGACATGGGTGTACACATAGGCGTGTTTCTCAAGGAGTGGTTCCCGGGCCAGGGGCACCAGCCATGACCTGGAAATTTATCAAAAATGCAAATTTTCTGCCCCACCCCATACCTACTGAATCACAAACTTTGGGGTGGGGACCCAACAATCTGTGTTTAACAAGCCCTCCAAGGGATTCTGGTGCATATTAAGTTTTCAAACCACTGAATTAAATCATTAGTATTCAAAGATGAAGTAAGTTATATGAATGAGAAAAAAGCAACAATAGGTTAACTTCAGCTGCTGCTGGTGTGTGGGATGTGTCCACAAGCCAACTCCAGGGGCAGCTGCATGGGCACACAGGGCCATGGCAGTGCAGACCCCCAGACTGAAGGGAATGGAATGGGACTTGGAAACTGGTTGAGTCCCAAGTAGGAGATGGTTCTAACAGTGACCAGTGGAGACCAGCCACTACTGAATCCAGTCTGTGCACAGTGTATTCTCCTTCAAACTTGACTGGTTGTTATGTGGGTAATAACTTTTTGCACGGACATCTTCAGTGATATGCCAATCCGGGCATGTTTTCTTATACAGACCATGTGTCACAATTAGCTGGAAGCCAGTGAATGCGGCGTCATTGACAGCATCATTAATGTGAGTCAGACAGATCATAGTAGGAAACACTTTTATTCTTTAAAAGCAAATGTTTTAAGAAAAAGGAATCAAAACTGTACTTGTTGGCAATCACACTGGCCATTATCAGAATAGTACATGCTATTAGGAAAAAGTGATTTCTTTTTTTCTGAGATGCTCCTCACTGGATGATCCACATCTATTCTCAAACGACGTGAACAATACACATGATGAGCATGTTTAGTGAGCAAGACTAAGATTCTCAAATGGACAAGAGCCTTGGCTTACTCTAAACACTTTTCTTGGCTGCAGGAGATGACTAAATAATTTGACTATATTTTTTCAGAGCTTAGAAAGGCTAACCACCTAATCATGCCAGAGCTCAACAAACCAGCATGAATAATCACCAAAAAAGGCACTTTAAAATACATTTGACAAGGAGTGACACTAATGCAATGAGAACTGGTCTAAGCCCTGCACTAAATTTTGTCATAGTTCATATAGGTAGTGCATTCTCTGTCTCCATGTGTATGTGTGTCTATATATAAATATATATGTATGTGTATATACCAACATCCATATACATGTGTGTGTGTGTATGTGTATATCCCCATAAGTCTCTGGCGAGCGGAAAAAAACCATTTCTGTTTCCTTTATTGAATAGTATACAAAAATTCTAGTTACTTTTTTTTTTTTTTTTTTTCTCTGGCGAGCGGAAAAAAACCATTTCTGTTTCCTTTATTGAATAGTATACAAAAATTCTAGTTACTTTTTTTTTTTTTTTTTTTGAGGACGATCAGCCCTGAGCTAACATCCATGCCAATCCTCTTTTTGCTCAGGAAGACTGGCCCTGAGCTAACATCCGTGCTGATCTTTCTCCACTTTATGTGGGATGCCGCCCCAGCATGGCCTGACAAGCGGTGTGTTGGTGCATGCCCCGGGATCCGAACCCAGGCCGCCAGCAGCAGAGTGTGCGCACTTAACCACTACGCCATGGGGCGGCCCCTCTAGTTACTTTATTTGGAACAAAGAATGAGGGGACTGGCAAATTAATGCCAAAAAAGTACCCTACTACACCTTTCTGTTGACAAAAAAAAAAGCAATAAAATAAATACTCAAAACTTTCCTAGGTTGTCAACTACTAAAATAATAAAATCGAGCATTTTTAAAAAGTTTATTCCACTGCAGGGAACAGGGTGGACATTTTTGGTACTGTAAATCTCACACACTCACACATCCATATTGCTTAGGCTGAAGAGAGCAGAATGAACAGAAGAAATTTCTTCCACAAATTCCTTCCTTTCAGTACCCACTAAGTTTTAGCTATGCTGTGTTATTCTGCTTAGCTTAACATATAAACAAAGTCTCGTATAAATATATTTTTAGGATATCTAAATTCTCAAGATACTTGTACAGAGTACTGAAAGTACTTAAGAGGATTTTTGTGAAATAAACAGAATTGGCCATATACCAGTCCACTGCTTACCCCAAGTTTGGGTATTTTGGCTCACGGTTTTGACAGACCAAACCCATCTGTGTCAGGTGGACAAAAGGCTAACTCGTCCTTCCCAGGAACAGGTGTACAGACACATTCTTAGGATATAAAAAAACAATTAGTAATGGCATTTAAATTTAATTACTAACTGTATAATGCCTGAGAACAAAAATCAAAGCAGTTTTTGAAAGGTTAAGAGTCAGAATCTGGACATTTCCGTTTTTTAGCCGCTGGCTCTTCAGTCTTGTGTAATTCTAAAGTGCTCGCACTGGATTTGAGGCTGGGCTCTGCTTTAAGGTTGTCCATGGCAACAGTGAAGCCTGAGAGAAGGTACCCCCCACCTCCGCTCATCAGTAGTTTGGGATGACTTCGGTCTGGCAAAACCTAATCAAGACAGAAAGATAGACATTCATGTTTTCCTAAGCAGATAAAGCACATGCTAACAATACACATGCCAGAAACCAGAATTTAAATGACACAGATTCTCTTGAAGATTTAATTGGACAATTCCTACAGACCTTCCTTCACAAGATAGTGCAGATAAAAGTGTAGAAATTAGTTTAAGTGATTTTCTTTTGAAAAATAAAACTGAAGCCATTTTTCTTAAACCTGAAGCAAGTTTCTAGTGGGGAATGGGCAAATGTCTGTGAGTGCTCTGGGCTTCACAAGCTACACTTGTGAGTGTAGCTTTCTTCCTCTTGGCTCTAGGCTTCATGGCTAGCAGTGGAGCTTGGGCCCATGGAGATGTAGCTACTGGACATACATCCAGAGCCTCCCTTCCCTAATACCCTGTTAACTCTGACAAGCCTTCTTCTCTCCCATTACCATGGCTAAATAAGATGACCGCCATGAAGGGCAGGGTTGCTGAGGGCTATAGGGTGTCCTGGATTAAGTAAGATGTCCAAGCAGCAGGGCAGGGCCTGTGGCAGCCATGCAGGGGCTCCCTCACATCTCTCTTCAAGAGGGAACTGACTGTGAGGAGTTCAAGCAGCAGAAAGCCTCTAGCTGCTGCTCCCTTGGGATCTGCTGTAGCATTCACACCCAGGGAGGCCATGGGATGCTCCAAGTCTGTAACAAGCATGGGTACCAGGACTGGACCATTTCTGCCCAAGACAGGGCTCCTTTAATGGGCAATCTTTGCTCAGGGGTTCCCCATCATCCTGGCTGAGACTTTCTCAGAGGAGCCCTGTAGGTTTTTCCTCCCCTACCCTCCTTCCTCCCTCTTCTTTCACAGGCACCAGACCTGCACCATGGTCTGATGGCCCTCCCTGTCTAATCCTGCTCCCTCTCCCCATATCTTTCAAAAGCATTTCCCCTGATAAATCTCTTATACTTCTAATTCCATCTTGGCATATGACTCCCAGAGGACCTGAACTACACACCGCCCACCAGTAAATCCTGAAACTTGTTGTGAGACATCCCAACAGAGTAGAGGCTTGCCTAGGGATTTTGCTCTTATCAGTTATTCCCTCCACAGTGATCTTGAGGCTTTGGGGCAACACGAACCACAACTGTTTGCATTTTAATAAGTCCCAGAACTGGAGTTACAGAGCAATAGACTCTGACATGAAAGGAGAAAAAAGGGTCAAGAAAGGTCAGGGCACTTTATCTGAGTTACAGGCATGAGACTCTTTCATCTCTATAGACAGAAAAAGGGATGTCTCTATTTAACAACTTCCAGCACTATTGCAAAGAGCCAAGGACTCGGGAGAAGCGCTCCGGGGACGGGCTGTGAGAACACGTACCTGGTAATTTCTGAGCCAGGTTTCAGACAGCCTGAGGTTGATGACCCCTCCTCTTTCTCGCAGTTTTGTATAGCATTCCAACAGAGGCTAAAGGCATAAACAGAGTTCTGTTAAGAATTACTTCGAGTAAATTTGAGAGTCAACTTTCAAGTGCAAGAATTCCTGTTCATTCCGTTCCAGTATTACCTCTTTATACTGACAGTAGACCACAAACGGCCGTGAAGGGGCCACGAAGTGCAGCAAAGACAGCAGCAGTGGAGTAGGATGGAAACGACTAGCTACAATTAAACTGCAAGGAAAACGTTAGACAAATTATTTCTCTACACCCCCAAAGTCGACCATAAGTTTTAAAATGCGTTTAAAACAATCATGTATTTACTTGCATGACTCACACAAGGAAGAGCTTTAAATACAACATTCTAGAAATTCCAAACAAAATCGTGAGCTATTACTTTCTAGGAAACACAAATTGGATTATAAGCTCTCATGGTGCTTGGCAACTCTAAGTAGCATTTAATGACATTCTTGATTTAAAAAAAAATCATCTGGAAACAAATCCAACATTGTAATACTGGCTCTGCACAGATCTGAATCTACCTCTCCTGTCAGGTTTTCCTTAGCCCTTGCCATTAGCCAGTATCACATCAGTTTGAATACCCCATCACCTGCACCTAATGGGACTACACAGCCCTGTCTGATGCACCATCATCGGAGAAATTTCAAATTTCTTCTAAAACTCCGAAACTAGCACAGTCAATTTCCCACCTAGCCAAACGCAGCCTCCTTTCTTTAAAAACCCAAGACAGAATCATCATCTCTGCTCCCACTATAACCAAAGCAGACAGAGAATGCTAATCTGTTTGAAGCACAGCCCATGAGCACCAAGACATCTCCTGCCTTCTTTCATCAACGCACCCATCTGCATTTCTTTCACTCAGCAGAGCAGCAGCCTCTAAATGTCTTTTCCTCTGCTCTTCTTGTCTCCTCTGCTTTTCCTGAATCTTCAAGAAGAAAAATAAGAAACCAACGTACTGAGGTCATTCATCAGGTTTATGGAAACGCTGTCTGTCAAAACATTTCAACAGTATTTATCAACTCGAACTAAAGCAACAAATAAAGTTGAAAACACACAAGAAAGCCCATGTGTTATATAAAACCATCATTAAGCTACCTATACAATGCTTCTGTATCCTAAAGCTCCATCCCAAAGATTAAATCACTTACATGGGTACACCCATGCACACACTCTTTCTCCATCTGTTTTGATATTTATTATCTGGGGAGCTGATGCTCCAAAGCCAAACCAAATCTCACTGCTTAAATGAAGTTAACGGCAGACCTGAGGGGACTATTATGAGAGTAGTGGGGACTTTTAACTTTCTTACATAATCCTTTCTGCTTCCTTTCTCTTCAGGCTCCTTAAATTCTGGATCTTGAGAGACAATCTCCATTGTTTCTTGTTCTTCTGGGTGATTGCTCTCTGGGGCCTCTGCCATACTGTCTTCATTCTCTTGTTCTGAAGCCTGTTTTTCCTCCAGCATGCCATTCCTTTCTTCAACCAAAGGACTGTCTTTTGGCTCTGAAGATAACATCTCAGCAGAAAATGTTCCATTTAGGAGACTGTCCACTTTGTTGAGGGGGAATTCATAGAGACCACTGAGGAAAGATTCAGGAAATCCAAAACATGCTGTTGCTGCCCGAACAGGTCCACCTCCAGGGTACAGCTGAATAATGGAGCCAAAACCTGAACAGATAAAAGAAACAAATATCTCTCCATGGAGGTGACTCTAGACTATGCAAACCCTCAGGGTTCTCTACAGTAAGAAGACTGAAAGCCTCTCTACTTTACTTTGTTCAGAGGCTGAAGAATGATGCAGCTCCTTTAGGGGTCTGAGGTAATATAATTCCAAAACAGATAAACAGGAAGCCTTAAAGAAGCTTACCCCTACTTGACACTACAGTAAAACCTTGTGATTGTGCAAATTTGGATGTCAGATGATTGGAGATTGGCTCTTAGCTTCCCCCCAGTCCAATTCTCAAACAGGGCAGTTAACGGTTCTTATCTTCTACAGGGTCAGAGAAAGTACAGGCAAATCAGCCTGTGCTGTATTCTTCCAGGACAGAATATATCCCTAGTATTCTTCCCACCCAATCTCCTCAATCCAGGCCAATAATATGAACACACCAGCTATCCAAGAGTTTACTGAAATCACTTTCTGGGAGGTCCTAGCTAGCCACAGGCTTCAGAACCATCCCCACTGATACTGAGGCTGGAAAGGACAACTGCCATCCAGGAGTGCCAACACAGCAAACGCTGGGAGATGTGGACTGTGCCAGAAGGTCCCAGGGGCCAGAGCTGTGCAGGCCCACCCAAGTCACTTCATGAACCTCACAGTGACTCAGCCTCACTTTCTAGGAGTTTTGAATTTTTTAGACCCCTCTACTCAAATCATGGTGGGGTTTTAATGAACTTGAAAATGTTAAATCTTACCTCCCATTCGTTCCATCATGGCACCCAGCACCAAGCCTGCACACGTTTCCATTACAATCATTTTATTGCCAGCACGGATATTTCCTAACGTCAACATCTGGGCGAGTGTATCATATCTCATGTGGCTAAGGAAAAAAGAATGATTCCTTCATTCTTAGCTAAGCAAAGCCTGCTATTTTAATCATCATTTTTCAAGTTACATGTGTTTTATAAAAATTATATTGATAAGATTAATGATTGCTTTGGAGGCAACAGTAAAAAGGACTTACAATCTATGAGGTAGGAAGACACTTTATGCAGGTGAGCAAGTTTTTCATTTTACTTAAAATCATGACTTTCTTAAAGATACATTTTCCCCCAATTATACTTTTGAAAGGAAACAAAGCGTACTTAATTTTTCCAGGTTCTCTGGCATAATACATAATTGAAAGAATGCGGGTGGATGGCTTCACAACAGTAATGATGGCTTCATATCTGGGGGAAGAAAAAAACAGAACGCCAATTTAAAAAACTGGTTTAAAAATATTTTTAATAATATATTTTATAAAGCTATGAAAAGATTTAATGTTTTCATCCTTTTCAAACAAAAAATACTTACTTCTTTTTCTTCTTTTTTATATATTTATCTTGAGCAAATTCTGTCTTGTCTCGGAACGTTGTACTATTTTCAATTAACTGCTGAACTATTTCCTATAAGAAAAGGAGCAAGCAGATTTCCTGAAACTTTATTTTCACAGAACAGATAACTTCAAAGGTTTCTTATCCCAGAACGTATCCCAAGGTCTGATTCTCCAGTCTCTTTCCCACAAAAGTCCAAATGGGTGAACTTTACATTTTTTTTACTCTGTCTAGAATTTGTATTAAAATATAAGTGCTTTATAACTCCATTTAAACCGAGGAAAAAGAACAGAGATACACAATAAAGGGAAAAGAGAGGTAAAGGAAATTGTCATTCCTGAAGACACTGGCTGAAAATGAACAAAGCGAAGCTCTGATATGCACTGTTATTAAATTCTCTTTTGCTAACAATATTAGTAATGTCATTCACTTACATTCCTGCATATAAGAAACGAAATCTTTGATATACCTAATTGCATATACATTTCAAACTATTTTTTTTTTATATAATTTTATTTATTTATTTTTCCCCCCAAAGCCCCAGTAGATAGTTGTATGTCACAACTGCACATCCTTCTAGTTGCTGTATGTGGGACGCGGCCCCAGCATGGCCGGAGAAGCGGTGCGTCGGTGCGCGCCCGGGATCCGAACCCTGGCCGCCAGCAGCGGAGCGTGCGCACTTAACCGCTAAGCCACGGGGCCGGCCCCATTTCAAACTATTTCTAACAAAAGTATACAGAATTTTTACATTTTATCTTAAAGTCTGCTTTAAAAACCAAGCAATTTCCTAAATACCAAACAACAACAAAACGTGACATCCTTTGAATATTACCTCTCCTTTAATGCCCTTGTCCTTTAAAGCTTTTATGTCATCTTGAGTAAGTTTCTGAGATTTCCCATCATCAATTATATTTCGATTATCAGTGCCCGCTTCTTTGGTCTCTAAGGAAGGAAATTGCTTTATGACATTTACGATCTGAAATTATTTTAAAATCTCTCTTCTTCCAAGTTCATATCCACATCCAGCCCATCAGCCACTCAAATTTGGCCTTCCAATTCGATGGCCCCCACCCCAGTCCACTATCCTTTCTTGCCATGACTACTCCAAGCGTCTAACTCATCTTCCTGCTCCCATTGTTACCCCCTTACAATCCACCTGGACACCAGCGTTCTCTTTCTAAAGTGCAAACTGGCTCATCTACTCTGATGTACAAGACCATACAGTGGCTTCCTATAGCAATTAGAATACATTACAAAGATGACCTGCAAGGGCGCATATGATCTGGCCCCTGTATACCTTTTCTGGCCTCATGTGACTCCTGTACTTCAGCCACATTACCCTTCTTTCTGTTCCTCAAACACACTAAGCACTGTATCACTGTGGGCTCTGGCCCTGCTGCTCCCTCTGCCTGGAATACTCTCATGACAGACCTCTGAGTGGCTGGATCCTTTCCATCACTCATGGCTGAGCTCATCATCTCAGCCAAGTCTCACCTCATCCAATCAGCCTCCAGTATACCTCCCTGCTTTATCATCTTCACAGCATCTGTCACCATCTGAAATTATGTTTTTTGCTTGTCTACTTGATTATTTTTGGTGTTCTCCACTGCTAAGTAAATTTTATGACATGGTCTATCTCATCAACTACTATAGTCACAGTACCTAATCATTCCTGGAACATATTTGTTGTTTAATAAAAATACGGGTGTTAATTTAGAAGTATTTAATTAACGAGTTGGAACCAGAACTTTAATAGTATTTTTTAGTTTAGTATTAATTATTTTTTTATTTTATTAATAAGATACTTTAAGTACATTTATTTTAACAAGTATTTAATTTTAATTAATAACATTAGTTAAAATTATGAGGCCTTTACTACAGGCAAGGCACTGTTAAGAACTTCCTATGTGTCCTATGACTGAATACTCACTACACCTTAAGCATTAAAAGTGTTTATGGCCCCATTTTACAGATGAGGATATAAGTCTCAGAAAAACCAAATAACTTGCCCAAGGTTACAAGGCAAGTGATGAAGCTGGAACATAACCCTAGTCAGTTAAATTCAAAGCCAGACCTCTGAACCTCTACCATATGCTAATTACCTCGCAGCTGTTACTTAACCTCTGGGCACTGAAAGGGCTCTGCACTTACTCTTACACTGCAAAAGCAAGGACTCATGGGATTAAATGCCTGGTCAGAGGGCCAGTTAACGATGGGCTGGAGCCAGAATCCAGGTATCTCAAAGCCAAAGGCAGCCCTTGCTTCATTCCACCAAACTATAGTTCTTAGATTATGAGTTTAGATTTCTTTGGGGACTGCCTGGGCTAGCACTTTAGAATTAATTGGGGTTGACAGGTTTCTGACTAGCCAGCTCAAGAGAATCTATTTCATACACCCAAAGTAGTGCACCTGAAGTAGGCTCTTCTTTCTTCTTCTTAGGCTGAAGACTTCCTCCATTGGTCACTTCAAATGTGGTTCCATAACTATGGCCAATGACGTTATCCAGATAGAACCACTGTTTTTCAAAAGTTACTTTTCTGGGGAAGAAAATACAATTAATTAGCTGAATCTCATTTGCATTCAGTATAGAAAAGATATGTTCAATCTAGTTTATTTCAAAACTGGTCTCTACAAAGGATGATCAGCAGCATTATCTCTGAACACAAACTGACAAATGGACTAGAGAGAACTAAGTTGGGGCAGAGACATAAAATTAATAAAGCCAGAAAATCAATGAATTTGGAAGGAGAAACAAGGATAGAGGCATGGGTCTTACTCCAGTTTGCACTGTCTGACAGGATGTCCAAATTCACAGGCTTTGCAGATTTCCTGAATAGCATAAAGGGTCATCAAGACTGCCAGGCCACCAGATACACACTGGGATGCCCCTTGTAACTGACATGAGAAAATCCCAAAACTGAACAATCATTAAGATGATAGGGATTTAACAAATTTATCTGGCCATTTTCTTTGAAAATTATCTAGTAAAAGCAAATTATATTTACAAATAAACATTACTGACAATCTACACATTTGGAAATGGTGCTTAACACTGACAACGCTCTACGTACCGAGGATCAGGCAACTTGAGCCTTTCTCTTACCCAGATTTTTATCTTAATTACAATTTAAAAGGGAAATCCCACAAAAACAAACTCTTTCCTTTCAAAAGAAGGAAACTAACATCTGCTGAGTGTTGATTGGGGCTAGGCAATATGTGCCAGGTGTATTTCATACTTTTTGATTTAATTCTCACAGTAATCCTGGGACATAGCTCTTTCCAGATGAATAATCTGAGACTCAGGGAAAGTATCTTGTCCAAGATTCATGGTTACAAGTGTGAGCTAGGATTCAAATCCAGGTCTGCCTGACCCCAAAGCCTGGCTTTCCACTATACCACACAGTCTACCCCAGCAAAGACCAATGGATCTCAGAAGCCCTGCCTAGCTTCAGGACATGGCCCACATCCACAGAACTCTGAATCCTGGAAGACATGTACTGGTTACTTCTGTTTGTGCCCCACCCCACATCTTCTCTTCCTTTCTCTGTGCCCCAGGAGGCTGACAATGACAGAATACACAGACCCCATCACCCAGGTTTCATTGCCGAAGGCTTCCCACCACTGCTAGACCCTGGGTGCATCACCATTCTCTACTGGTTCTGTAAACCCTGTCACACCTCTGTAGGTGTATGTATCACATCTTCATTAGATTTCCTTACTTTAACCATCTGAGTGAATTCCTGCGAGATCCTAAGTGATCCAGGTAGGGTCAATGCTTAGTCTTTGCTGGGTCCCCAGTTACTAATACATAACAGAACATAACAGATACTCAAAATATTTGCTGACATAAACCCCCTCAGAGAAGCTGAAACTCAGTTCAGCCCAGATGTGCACCCTACACCCCTATCCTTTGAGCACCCCAGTGCTAATGAAACTCTGGGTCTGAACTGGGATCGGTTTACCCCTCTGGCAGCTGGTCTGACATGCAAAGAAGGATGTGTTACTCAAACTGATTGGCCTGACAGGAGGTCACCGACCTAGTCAGGAAAGTGGGGCCCAGTCAGAGGGATGTGGAGGCATGTTTTCGCTGGGAAAGAGTGGGATTTGCAGAGTTTCCTTCTCAGAGAGCCAGGACTACTATTGCCCAACGAGATGAGTGCAGCCCCGAGAGAAGACTGAAGGGAAAGTCTGGGCTGGGATGTAGCTGAGCTCAGAGAGTCATTTTCAAAATAAATGGAAACGAATGCTATGGCTTCTGCCAAAAATAGTGATGAAAAGTGTTTCCAAATAAATGTCTAAAGAGTACTTTTTAGAAATAAGGATGTTGCTCTCTGTCTCTTTGGTAATGAAAAAGCTCTTGTCTAAAAGAGCACATTATTAAGAAGCACACTCAAACTACTACATTTTAAAATTAAGCAACTTAAAAGGACAGTATGAGAAAGGAAGGAAGGAAGGAGGGAAGGAGGGAGGGAAGGAAGGAGGAAAGGAAGGAGGAAAGGAAGGAAGG